GCCCAAAGAGAGCTGGAGAAGCGACGTCTGCAGGCAGCTATCGGCAAGCTGCGACGTGACTGGAACACAACCACAAACAATTGGAACACGGTGACAAAAGACGTATGCAAGCGCTCGCGCAGGATGATGCTGCTCTGAAGAAGATGCGAGTAGACGGCTGGGAGTTTGGTAAGGTTTGTGAGATGATGTATATACAACATGAAACTAATGTGGTATATGATGTATGATGTTTAGATACCGCATCGCATCCTGAACGAGCAGAACCATACCCGAGTCTATAGAGTGGTGACAATGGACCAACGGAGGCAGCGATTGAAGTAGCCGAGTCTTCATTACAACTCATCTTCTTCTTCATGCCTCGTCGGCTTTGGCGCCGGATAGCTACTGAGAGTAATCGATACTGTTATCAGCATCTCAATGGACGGGTCGACAGAATACATGCGAAGCGAGTGGCTGATGATGCAGAGTTGACTAGGGAAGCTGTGATGTTGCGGGAGACCAAGAAACACAAGGACATAAAGCCAGAGGACATTGTGCATTGTATCGGGCTCCTTATCGCGAGGATGTTGGTACCTCACAAGCGCCGTTTTGCGGATCCATCAAGAAGTCGTCACAACGTGACCAGGCAATTTATGAAGGACAAGCCCCACAAATGGGGCACAAAACTGTTTATGACATGCTGTGCTGACACAGCGTATTGTCTGCGGTACGTAGTTTAACGGCCTCCATCGTGGAGTTTTTTTTTTTTTGGCTAAGTCTCATATGTTGTATTTGTCTACCTCTGTATTGTTTGAAATGTTGTATTGTGCTGCATCGAAGTCTGGAAGTATTTTGTGGGACTAACCAGCACTCAGACGAGCTCGGAGGTCAATCGACGACCCGATTTTCAGCAGCCCGAACTCTGGCCCTGCAGCGGTTATCCGTAATCTGCATGAAGTTCTTCCTGCCCCAGAAGAAGATGTGTACCACGCTGTGGTGACGGATCGATTCTATACGTCAATCCAACTAGCTTTTCAGCTCCTGGCTCGGATTGTATACACGGTTGGCACTATACAGCCAAACAAGAAAGGGTTTCCGCCAGCTCTCGTTACCAAAGCAGCAACTCGTCCAGCTCATATCCCCCGCGGGACCAGCACGATCGCCGTCGCAAAGGGCTGCGATCTTCTACAGGTAATGCTTTGGTGGGACCGCCTTCCTGTCTACCTTCTTTCGACTGGCAGCAGTACATCTATTGAAACCTGCGGTAAGTTACTTTTGGGTCGTGTCTTAGTGACGACGGCTTCCTAACTTATGCTGTTGCTGTTGTACCATCGAAGGGCGGCATCTTCGTGGCAGCAGAAAGGAAATCATACCCTGCCCATCAGCGATGCGCGACTACCATCGCTGGATGGGCGGGGTTGATATCCACGACCAGCTAAGGCTACAGCGCTATTCGCTGCAACTCTCGGTGCGCTTTCGAAAGTACTACAAGACGGTCTTCTTAGGCCTAGTCGACATGGCACTCGTGAATGCCTATATCATTTTCCGTAAGGCTCGGAAAATGGTTGGTGAAGGTGCTGATCATGCCGAGTCTCTAGCAGAGTTACAGGCGCAGCTTTTGCAGGTCACTTTGGCTGACTTCATTGATGAGGTATATACTTCATGTTTGCCGGCGATCATGTGGTAGATGTTGTATCGTATCTGACTCGTTTATTATCATGCAGACATTTTCTCCAGCACCTTCCGACCAAAATGTGGCCTCGATATCAGCTGCCCACAAATTGACCGAGTTTCCAGAGTGGACCCAGATCCGGGAAGGTGTTCGGAAGAGGCCACAGCACCAGTGCAAGGTCTGCTCGATTCGCAAGCAGAAGGTCGGCCAGCGCAGTGCAACGAGGTTCTATTGCGAGGCATGCAGCGACGGCAACAAGTAGTAAGTGTGACAATGGCCTATGCAATCGTACTTAACTAATTGTACTTCTTCATGCACAGTGTCTACCTCTGTGACCGAGTCCGGCCGGGCCACTACCCAGGAAACACCATGACATGCCACCAAATCTGGCATGTCATGTGGAAGAACGGAAAGGAGCGGCCTCACCCTTGTGTTGGTCGTGGAATCCAGATGCGCAGCCCGGCAAAGAAGCGCCTACGCGCCGCTAGTGATACGGAAGAAGGCAGCGGCGCGGAGGAGGGAGGTGCTGACAGCGGTACTGTGGAGGGGGGCGCTGGCTCCGAAGGCAGCGGTGCGGAGGAGGGAGGCGCTGGCAGCGGTACTGTGGAGGGGGGGCGCTGGTTCCGAAGGCAGCGGTGCGGAGGAAGGAGGCGCTGGCAGCGGTACTGTGAAGTGGGGCGCTGGTTCCAACACTGATGTCGGCGCTGAAGAGAGAAGTGGTGGGGAGGGATGTGCTGGAGAGGATGATAGCGAGTAAGAGTGGGCTTGTCGATGAATACCTAACCTGATTCAATATGAATGTGTTGCAATCATTGATGACTGTACACATAGCCATTGCGCTTCGTACATGGCATGTTCAAGCCCTGTAAAAGGGACACTTCTAATATGTTGGATATACGTCTTCTTCAGGTTTGTTGGCGCAGCGTGGGTGTCTTAGACAGGGCCAAACTAAAGATCGCCATTTCTAGGGACTGCCATTTGTAAAAAAAAGGATGTAATCAGTGTTATGTGCATTAAAGCCAGAAAGAAAAACACATGAAAATTTCTTTTGCCGTCGCTGCATCGAGGTATACAAACTCAAAATGTTTCAAAATCGTGTCAGTTGCATCCCACCGTGTCCGTTGCAGATTCACTTAAAATCCATTGTGTGTGACACCATACAAAAATCAAGTTGCTCAGAGGTGTGTCCGTTGCAAATAGGCGTGTCCGTTGCATTTTCAAAATGGCGCCCAAGCTAACACTCCCTGCCTGCGGCTACCTAGTAGCACACATCGGATTGTCTACGGATACGCTTAATGCCCTACTGGACCCGCACGTACACCCCCGTTTTCACTGTGACTGCTTGTCTGAACCCGGCGTGGCTTTCTACAGTCTTCTCCTTTCTGCGTTCAACGCCAGGAGGAGAAGAGCAAGAAGCGCATCCAGACTATCCTGAATCTGTCACCACTGAAGCTTCCAAGAACAAGTCTACGCGTGTCCCGGTAAGTATGGTTCTCGCTTTGGAGGAAGGAACAGGTCTACGAGTCTACGATGGCTGCTTCACTGCGCGCGACGACACCAAATCTCGCGTGGTGCAAATTCCAGTGGGTTTCTGCATCATTTTCCCGTGGGGACCTTATCCATAACGGAATGTCCTATGATCTCGTGAGCCACCGGATCCACTGCTACCTGTCATTTCGCGGACTCAAATGGGAACCGGATGTGGTAAACAGCGTGTTGCCCAAGACCTACTCGTGCCAGAACTGCGGAATCGAGTATGGAGACTCTGCAGCGATGCGTTCGCATCGCCGTTTCTGTACTAGGAATCCTGAAGCAGCGAAGAACGAAGAGACCAGACGCCGGATGGACAACAAGGAAGGAGAATGAACGTGTCCCCTTTGTTTGAAGAAGTTCCCTAAGAGTGGATCACTGAGATCTGACACTTTTCGCGGATGCAGCAAGAAGCGTTAGGCAGATTAAAACATCATTCCATGATAATTTTAAATAGAGAATGGGCGCTTTGTTGAATTATAACGATGTTAATAACGTAAGTTAAACTAACAAACAAATTGCTTCGCATGTTTGCGATATCTTGTGGAATTACGAAAGAACCAGGGTCTGCGTCAATCAAACTGGCATGCACCCATGCAGTTGTAATTCCAACAGCAGTTTGAGAACCGATGATATCTTGTAGCGAAGCTGTCGGTAGCGCACTATTGGAAGCTGCGGCCCGTTGACGATGACCTGGATGAACTCTGGCGTCTTCTGACGGTGGATGGCTGTGAAGCCGACTTCCGTTCCTCGTGTGTACAATTTTCCATTTCCCAGTAGGGTCAGACTTGTCCACGGCTTGGAGTATTATCTTCATCGGACAACCAATACGCATGGAACCTCGCATGGGGCGCTTTCGGTCTTCATCTTCAAGATGCCGCGTACACTTTGGCTTGCCACCTCGATCACAATCGAAACCACGTTACCAAACTGCATCCCCTGCCGTCGCTGAAGTAAAGGCACGCCTCTTGGTCACATTAAAACCATGATTCTTGGTCCAGTCATGCAGAGCTGCAATGGCGGCATCCTCTGACGAGTGCGTATCCTCAGGCGGAGGGATTATTTCCACGGAAATGCTACTTGCACTCATAGACCTTGTCTCCACACGAGTATACCTCGGTTCGCTATCCATAGCAACTTGAGATTCAGTCGGAGTACCAAACCCAGGTACGTTTCCTGCGTTCACTTGGTCTTCCACCAAAGGCGGCAGGTCACTAAGGGCTTCTGAGAGGGCGGAAACCGAAGGGCACGTATACTCACACGTTGGCGAAAATCTTGGACTGCTGACAGTCGGGGACACAGCGTTGAGCAGAGATGCTAGATCCATTTTAGATGTCGAAGTAGAGGCTTGATGAGTTAGGCTGAGAGCTATCTCACTAGTTGGAGTATGTGGAAATGAGCTTACTCCACACTCCAGACGTGGACAGGAAGAAGGCTACACGCTCGGCTTCGTTTGTGCGATACAGTTAAATAACTTGGGCTCTCGTCTTCATCAATATCCCCCACCAAATAATGTATTCGCATACTATCTCGTCTACCCGGGCAAGAACATTGATTAAAAAATGAAAATTGATCAAATTGTGGTATAAACTCCATCCATATCTATCCTCTGCAACGGACACGGTGGGATGCAACGGACACGGTCATTTGTAACTTGATTTAAGTAAAGAAGAATAATCGACCCAAAAGGGCTCGCCCTGCAACGGACACGCAAAAATGCAACGGACACGTTTAAATCATCTTGGTTTCAGTATTGGGAAATTGCCTGTATTTTTTAAATTGATTACATCCCTTTTTTTACAAATGGCCCCTAGAATTTCTAGGAAACTAAAGAGGGCCATTTCTAGTAGAAATGGCCCTCTTTAGTTTGGCCCTCTTAGACAGCATGTGGCTACATAGCGCTGCGAAGAAGCTCATGTATCACCGAGCGTCTGATCTTCCCGCAGTGCAGAAAACGTATTCGTACTTACGGAGGTCAATACAAAATTCAAGTTTAGTCTTTTTTTAACATGTTGTATATACAACATGTGGTCGTAGACAGGGACCGAAAATAGCCGTATTAATAAGTGCGGGGGGGTTAACACATAAAATAGTCTCAGTACCGTAGACAGTGTAGCGAAACCAGCAACAGATTTTTTGAGAGTACTTTCCTGAACATTTTTGGGTATTAACTGAGGCACTCTGCTGCTTCTAAGGCAGTCGCCAAGAAGCAAAGAAGCAACGCTTAGTATATTTCCAACTGCGCTTCCGGATCGACGGCGTACACAGACTTGTCAACTTTTGCAGAGCCTCGACGTACTGACCATGATATTTCTGCACGTCTTCCTTGGTTGGTTGTTCGATACGTGGTAGGACCAAGGCTTCTCCAACGACAGTGATAAGGTCCACGTCGGTGCGAGGCAGAAAGAAACAATGCGGAAGACCGAAGAAAAATACTCCAGGAATCTTGAACTCGTTCAGCTTGAGACGCAACTTGAGCAGATAAGGAAAGGTGTGATAAGCGTACTCCTCCCCGAACGTGTACACTGGATCTCCGTGCTGAAATCGCTAGAGTCATTGGTAGCACCGTCTTGACTTGATTGCGTGGCCCTCTCGCGCTCGTCGAAGACCGTGGTATTGAGGCGGAAGTACGGGTAGTGAAGGAGCGAGTAGCGAATCAAACACCGCATGAATGGCCAGGGGTGATGCGAAGGCCGAGTCACGAAATGGAAACTCTCATAAAGTGCGACGAGACTTAGAAAAACTTGCACGGCAAGTGGAATCGGAGCTTCATTTGCACCGATGAGGGTACTCCAAACCCACTGAGCTACACAGAAGAGCGAGAAAACCCACATCATTATGAAGAAAGCAATACCAACCACCCAGAGACCATAAAAAAGCGAAAGATGAAGTCGTCGTAGAAAGCGTCCTCGTAGTGTCTGCAGATCCGGACGAGTATCCGAGTCAGGCCACGCTGGTGAGCGACCGAACGCAGCATTCTTGAGCGCTTGGGTTGCCGACATGATGTCACTTTAGCGAATGACGAAGAATCGACTCGATCATGCTGTTCGGGAGAGGTGTCTAGTGCTTGCGTGGGGCTCAACGGGAAAGTTTTTAATGGCTTAGTCTTTGTAAAATTGACCGTAGGCTATGTACGGTCCGTAGCACTTGTGAATGCACTTTAACTGCATTCCCTAGCTTCAAAAGCGAGAGTTTTCAGTTTGTTTCTCCGTGTAATCGATGTCACGTCGAGTAAATTAAATTGTCAGCAGCCTTTGTATTGCGTGAGTTTGGAGGTGATGAGCGGAATTGACGCACGGCTAGGCGTCACTTCAATATGAAACCCATGCTGTAAACAAGTATCTTGTTGATTCACATTTACAGATGTGAAGGGAGGAGGCTCAAGCGGATGCGACGAAATCAGCGAAGGATGCCTTCATTTTCCAATTCGCTCCAACAACGTCACCAGGATGGCCTTTTCACCCTTACTACAATCCTTTGTGCGGATGGGAGACGCCCTTCTTGGTCAGCTTGCAAGGGTTTTCGTGCTCTCATTAGGCTTCCTATCTCCAACAATGTCCAAGAACATCAGCTGGGACTACAATCCTGAAGACGTAGGACCTATTGTGCCGGTGAGTTCACAAATTAGTCTCGGTTTACGAAGGTATCATTTCATGAGATCTGTTAAACTGTAGGAATGGGGTGGACCTTCAGCGTCCGAGAAGCGCGACTTTCGCCTGGCGAAATTTGCATGAGCCACGAAACATAAGAGCTCGACCAAACGTTCTGTTAGCGTTTAAAAATGTAAATTTACCTCTGTTGCTTAGTAAATTTCAAGTTTGGCGGTCGGATCGACGGCGTCACACTCTTGTACTTATCAAATAGTTCTTGAAGCGTCTCGATGTACTGGTCTTGAAACCTTATAACGTCCTCTCTCGTAGGGTGCTCGATATGAGGTAGAATTAAAGGAAGGCTTGCCCACGACTGTAATTAGGCCAACGTCAGCTCGCGGCAGGTAGCAACAGTTGAATCGACTGAAGAAACTACGCCGGGCAGCTTAAACTCGTTCAATTTGAGACGAAGCTTCACTAAGCTCGGGAACGTGTGGTAGGCGTACTCCTCGCCAAACGTGTAGACTGGGTGCACCTTGTATCCGTATTGCAGCGCCATCTTGATGAAGCCGAAGCGTTTCTTGATGTACACGCGGTGTTTGCCACGCCGGTAAAGTGTGGCTTCTTCAAACCCGCCAGGAATGAGACTCACGCTCTGCCCCGTTGGCATGATACGCTGGAAAGTGGCTTTGGCTACGCTACTGAAGTCCATCCAGTTCAAACCCTCACGCAGCACGGGGAACCAGAAGACATTCTCGGCTACAAGCCAGCGGCATTCTGCGCGCTCAAACGTCATGTGGTGTGCGTCGTTGATGTCAAACCCGTTGGAAAGCACGCCATGGGGGTGGAAAGCAAACATAGATCGGTCGCTCGGCTTGACGAAAGGTGTAGCGTCATTTTCCTCGATAGCCTTGCTGGCTGCAGCAGTACCGTCCTCATCACTTGCATGCAGCTTTCTCTCAGCTTCCAGGCGGTCTTCGAAGACTGTCACGTTAAGACGGAAGTACAGGTAGTGCAAGAAGTTGAAGCGCATGACACGGCGCATCAATGGCCACGAGTGGAGCGAAGAAGATGTCAGGTGGTAGAAACTTTCGTGCATCGCCAGACCGCATAGATAAAGCTTCACTATGTATGGCAACGGTGTTGCGTAGGTGTTAACCACAGCCGTCCGGCCCCATCGCACGGCGGAATAAAACGAGAAAATCGATATTGCGACGAAGAAACCCAAACCGACAACTCAGAGACCGTAGAGGACTCAAAGCTGGAATTGCCGCAGCGTGCGACCTCGCAGCGTACGTAGTTCTGGCCGTGCATCGTTGTCAGGCCAGGCCGCGGTGCGTCCGCAAGCCGCATTCTTGAGCTTCCCGACGACTCTGGATCGAATGCCGAGTCGGCATGCGAAAGAACAGAGACGAGACTGTGGACGCCAATCGCTAATTGCATCGGCCAAGCCCACTCGATGACGTGCACAACAACCAGTTCACTTCAATGTGCTCCACGCCGACATTTCACGTTGAGGATGTCACTGTTCACCGCCGATCACCTTCGTCACCGTTTTCCAAGTGGAACTATGACAGATCCGAATGGATGGAGGTACTCACGATACTGAGCCGAGCCCCATCACTGCCACCGTACCAGTTGCGAATCTGCGGCTGAAGACCAAGATGGCGCTAACTACTTGTCCACTCGTCCAGATGGGCGACGCTCTACTGGGACAGCTAGCCCGTGCACTCGTACTGTTGGTGGCCCTAGCAGCTCCAACAACTATGGCCAAGGACATTTGCTGGGACTACAGCGACGAGGACATGGGTCCACTCGTACCGGTGAGTGTGCGTCGGTCTCGGCGGTGGTCCAGGCGTAGTGTGGAAGAGCTTGTAATTGGTAAAACTAATTTGAATCACCTCAACGCTTTACTGGTACATGTACCCAGGAGTGGAGCAGCGAGCCTCGCAACAACTTCTTCAATTGGAGCGCCCGTCAGGCAGAGTTTGCCTAATGTTAGTAAGAAGGTGATCATCAACTTCAACCTCGAAAATATGGTCTGTTTTTGTCCACCCTATTCAATATAGTGACCCGTCACTACTGTAATATGTGTATTCTACGTGGCAAAAATCCAAGCTTCAGCCCCTCTTACACTTTCCCATACATACGACAACACACGATCTCCAAGTAGCAGACAGATATGGCCGAACCGGATGAGCTCTTCACGCTAAAGAATCAGCTCTGGGTGGGCAACTTCCAGAACACGCTGAGCGAGGGTACCATGCTCAACCACGTGGGCGAGGCGCTGCGCAACGAGCGCGACGTATACGTATACCGCGCGCAATTAGCGCTAGGCAACTTTCCCCTTGTGCTCCAGAGCATCCCGGACGCCGGCAATACACCCATTGCGCTGAGCGCTGTAAAGCTCTGGGCTACGTACCTCAGTGGTCAGAGTGACAAGGAAATGATTGATCTGACGCTCAAGGAGTGGCTGGCCGACCCCACGAGCGGTGAGAACGCGCACCTGTTGCTGATCGCCGGCCAGATCTACGCACGCGAAGGCAAACTCTCGGATGCGCTGTCGGCGTTAACCCGCGGCGGCTCGCTCGAGCATATGCTGTACATTGTGCACTTATACCTTCAGATGGACCGATTGGACCTGGCTCAGAAGACTGTGCAGGAGATGAAGCGCATTGAGGAAGACTCGACGCTCACGCAGCTGGCACAGGCCTGGTGTTTGACGCTGCAGGGCGGCGACAAGGCTGACGAGGCCACGCTGCACTTTCAAGAACTTGCAGACAGGTTTGGATCCACTCCTCTGCTGCTGAATGGCGCTGCAGCGGCCTTTATGGCGCTCAAGAACTACATTGAGGCCGAGCGACTGCTGCTTGAAGCCGTCCAGAAGGACCCTAGTAATGAGGACACGTTGATCAACCTGATTGCAGTCAGTGCTCATTTGAGCAAACCCACGCACCAGTACATCGTGCAGCTACAGCAGGTCGCGCCGTCAAGTTCGTGGCTTGAAAACTTCGTGATGTTGGACCGGGGCTTCTCTGAGATGGCGGCCACTTTTGCGTGAGCATAGCGAGGTGATGGCAAACAGGAGAGAAGCATATATACGTGGTAAAACAACTTGAGAAAGAAGGAGCAAGCAACGAAGTCTGTACTGTCTTGGTTTGGCCAGTAAAATTCCACCTCAAAATGGCGAAACAAGAGTTTTCTTGCTCACCGTTGGCCGATCTGACCGTTAAAATCCCAGAACCAGCCCACCCTCCCCAGTGCGTAATTGTTTTCTGCATTAGTGACGAGATTGTACTTCAGCGGCTGAGCCTTCGCCAACAGCACTCTAACGCGACAGCTCCTTGTTCATGAATTTTCGCTTGGCGAAGAACATCCACCATTTGCTCTTCTCCCCGTTCGGAAAGACCTCATCGACCAGGCGGAAGGCAATAGCTTCGCGTAGTTGCTTAAAGAATCCACGAATAGTTTCTGCGAACAAAAGAGCAACAGCAACACGGTCAGCTTCATTTCGGCCCCCAAAACTCCACCCTCGACCCCACCTGCTTCGTTCGCACTCGATGGTGCGCGCACCAATCCTCCCAGTGGGAAGCTAGAGTCGCCAGGGATAACGAAAGTGTCCACCGCCGTCTGCTGCAGGATGCGTGTGGCTACAAGGCACAACACATTTATGTCAGTTCCGAATTTTAACTTTATGCTTGGAGAGAAATCGTGCCGCGTTCGCACCATCCGCCTTGTTGGTGCATCGGTCCAGCTTCTTAAGGCAAAGGTGCACGAAGAGGGTGCCATAAATGAGCACGCGGTCCGCGTTGCCCTTGATCTCGAAGTTGGTGAACAACACGTTAGCACGGAAGAGCGTGAGAATCTCGTCCACGATGTCGTCCTGGCCCTCGGGTGCCGGCGGTGCCGGTCCTCGTGCACGCGTCTTAATTGGGAGTATGGCGCATCCGCACGCCTCCTGCGACTGCAGCTCGTTGAGCGTCGAGTGATATGCAGGCATCTCTAGTGTCGACGGTCGAAGAAGAGAGCGAGTATGTGCGACAGCTTCAGCTCTGATTAGGGAGGTTGGTGTAATAAACACTAACATGGTGTGGCTCCCATAACAGTTGTTTTGGCCTCATCTGGTCTTTTTAAGAATTTATTTTTATTAAAAAGTTTGAATGTCTAATGCACATCATAAATACAAGAAAACATGACATCCTCCTTCCGTGGAATGTAGTGCCTGAAGCGTGCGTTGTATGTGTGCGTTTTTGCTTTGATTATTGTACGTTGCTAAAGGTTTGTATCACAAAGATTATATTTTAAATAAAATAAAAGATTTACAAATTGTGAGCCTTACAATGACACCTTTTTTAGCAGTAGAGGATACTTCTATTATTCTTGTACATGTACATTACCCTACAGTAGATGGCAATTCTGGTAAGGTAGCAATACTTAATAACGCATTCTTGTTTTTTATTTATACATGTTACGCGCTCGATCGTAATTACTACATGTATGTAGACTGATACGACGTTCAGCTGGTATCCATATTCGTGAATGAAGATGCAACGGCAACAAGCTACATACAGTTGAAGCCGTCACCACTGGTGGTGACTCACCAGAGCCGCTCTGCCAGAGAGTCGATATGACTGGAACGGAGGCCTCGTGCGGGACTCCCGCCTCAACGTGTTGAAGTTTGCACGTGTTTTGTATGAGTGGGCAGAGGATCTGTGACAAGTCGCAGCCCTCGTCCTCGAGTTCACCATCCAAGCTAAGATGCAAAATCGGCGGATATGCTTGGAGGTAGTTTATTTCCAAGCTGTTAGACCTACATTAATAGAATAGTCGACATGTTTTTTAGTAGTGTTATGCGATGACCATCCGTTTTGTGTACCACACCAGCAAGTCAGAATACAGCACGCGCTATCACTTTCGCTTTCGCTACACAGGCGCAAGGAGTGTATTCAGTGGTCTCAACCCTCCGAAGACAACCACGCACTTCCGTTAATCTCTGCTTCAGGGTACATCAACTCGCCTGTGAACAGAGATACCACTTGCCATAGATATGGGCGGCGTATACACTCGTGTGCTAAATGTGGCGTCGCTGCGGCCAGGTGATCACGTTTGCATCTGGGACTACAGTCGCTGGCCCATTTCCTACCAACACCACGGCATCGTGTGGACCTCAGGCGCTACAGCTGCCGAAATTCGCGTCTGCCACGTATGGAGCCCGCTAGAGGGCTTCCAGGAGGCTCAGGCCGACTCTTGCTTCCGTATTTCAACGCTCGAGGAATTCTTGTTCAATCGTAAGCAGAAATACCTTCGACTCGTCGAATACCACACGTCCGGACTGCGCGAGGTGCTATCCAGGTGGGGTGAGGTACATCTCAGCAAAGCCGATCTCCCTGAGGTAGTCTTAGCGCGCTGCAAGTTTCTGCTGGGCCTGGGACGAGGAGACTTTAATATTTTCACACAGAATTGCGAGCACGCAGCGCACTGGTGCATGACAGGTGAACAATGGTGCAAACAGACGCTTACCAAGGTGAAAGGCCGTGTACCATTCGAGAAGCGACTTGTGAAGGAGGACGTGGATGCGCTCGTTAAGCAGGTGGATGAGATCAAGGAGATCTCGCGCTCTGTAGTCAGCAACGTGCTCAAACTCTCAGGCTCCAGTGTGTTTCTGAGGGTCAAGGGCAACCACTACGTACAGGTACATGCGGATGGAACGGTGGGCATTGTACCACAGGGAGACGACCCGACGACGTGCGGACGGACGGCCTTCCGTCTGGAATGTTACGCCCGAGGCTACAACAGCATTCGCGTGCGCTTTTTCCATGAAGACACAGGCTGCTACATGTTCAGCCGGTCGACGTTTAGCTGCTTCCGCGATTTGCGGATGAAAGAACCTATGGGCGTGCGCGGCAAATCGGGATTAACGTGGGAGTATTCCACTATGGGCTATCTTCGCAGTATGAACCAACATAGACGGTATGTAGGAGCACGGGACGACGGCTTGCTGCTGGACGTGAGCATGCGCGGAGACGCCGTGCGCGTCGAATTCGTGGCCTGTGAAGGCGCTGCTGAGGCTTACACGCCCCCGGACATTCATCAGGTCACACGCACTTACAACCACGAAAAGTCCATTCAGTACACAGAGTCGCAGAGCATGCGGGACTATAAGGCGGCCGAGCGGGTTAAGTCGTCGCCCACATCCTCCACTACAACCCCCACGACGGAACGAGCAGCAGCAGTGGCAGCGTTGCCGACTCTTGTCGAATCAGTGTGAAAGACTGACAGTACATCAGAATTGCAACTAGATGGTGGACTCCACGGTGGAGTCCAGGTGCAGTAAGCGGGCACTCACACTTTTGACGCTCTGGAAGTCTGAGCAAGCGTGATCCAACTTCTTCGAACGGGTTGGTGAGCATGAATATTGCACGACACACGACAACGCATTGAGGACAGTGGCTTTTAGTTTGGTCGCTAACTTCGTACGGAGTCTGGCATGGCATCAGATAAACCGGCCACGGGGAGCCAAGCAGCTCTCCTTAATTTATCGACAGTGTCTCGAACTAGTCCGAGACTAGTACATGTAGTCCTTGCCGGTCGATAGCAGATCGTTGTTCGCAGTAAATGGATGTAAGGTCAATAAAATTGTTGTTCAGGTTAATTTCAGGAAATTCTTCAGCATCTTCAATCCCACCAAGACTGGAGCGGGCTCATCAAGTCAACATTTCGCGTGGATACGCCGTCGATACGATCGACTCGATGTAGCGGGAGTAATCCTGCACGAACGCGAACAAACACGCAGTCATTCAACATGATTGCCACCTGCATTTTTTGCAGGGTTTAAGCACGATAGCAGCATTTACCCATTTCATTCTAAAGCGCGGTTAGTATGGGCAATGCAAACTCGCATGCAGTGAAAGTCGGAGCGTTGCGTCCAGGAGACCACATCTTCATTTGGGACCACACGCACTGGCCGTTTTCGTATCAACACCACGGCATTGTGTGGGCGTCGGGCGACAGTGTTGAAGGTGTTCGGGTTTGCCACGTTTGGACGCCGTTGGAAGGTTTTCAACAGGCACAGAACGACTCGAACTTCCGAGTGTCGACGCTTGGACAGTTCCTTTATCACCGAAGTGTTGACGATCTGCGGGTTGTCGAGTATGATGATACCAAGCTGTTCAGGCGCATGGCAGACCGACCTGACATCGTGTTGGCGCGCTGCAGACTGTTACTTGGTCGCGGGCGCGGTGACTACCACCCGATCACACAGAACTGCGAGCACGCTGCACGTTGGTGCAAGACTGGTCGTCAATGGTGCTGGCAGACGCTCACGCCAGGTCACGGAGATATACCGTTTGAGAATCAGCTTCGAAAAGTGGACGTCCTTGCACTGGAACACCAAGTTGAAGCAATTAGGATGGCCGCAGCAACGAGCACTTTGGCCATTGACTGCGCTAAGCACCAGGGCCTACGTGTCAAGGTCAGTGGCAAAACACTGTTCTGGATGGACAGCTTCTCAACGGAAGTAGTAGACGTTCGCAAAAGGTTAGCCCGCCGCGTTTTCAATTGGCCACCCACTGCAGCCAGCATATACCATTTTCGCTTGAAGACAAACCCTATTGACTTGGGATCTCTGCAACACGCGAACTGGCCCCGACACGTCGAGTTCGCAGCTTCCTACTTGAAGATACCTAGGGAGACCCGCAGTTACACTATAGGACAGGCTTGTGACGTGAGCTGCCGGCAAAATTGCCTCGCTCCCGCTCTTCTGCAGCGGTTGACTCAAACCAACGCTAACGGACGGACGCAGGCAACGACAGCAAGCACCACGCCCAGCGTCGAGACATCGATCGTCTGCTCGCACAAGTTGCCAGTTGCTATTTCGAGCCATCCAATTGACCATTGCCACTCACTTTTGGAAGTGCTTTCTTGGTGTCGATTCCTCTCTAGCAAAATCTTGTCTCTGCGACAGGTGCACTCTGAAAGCTATCCGTTTCCGGGCGGGAGCATCGACACTAACGACGACAGACAGGAATTCGCAAGCTAGAGCACAGACCGGGACTAGAAACCATGGGCGGCGTGTACACGCGTGTGCAGAACATCTCGTCGCTACGGCCCGGTGACCACATCTGCATCTGGGACTACAGCCGCTGGCCGTTTTCATACCAGCACCATGGCATCGTGTGGGCCTCGAGTGATCGGCCCGAGGACGTCCGCGTTTGCCACGTTTGGAGTCCGTTGCAGGGCTACAAAGAAGCCCAGGCCGACTCGTGTTTTCGCATCTCCACACTCGAGGATTTCCTGTACAACCGTAGCGTGGACGACCTACGCCTCGTGGAATACCACACATCGGCGTTCAGAGACTTTCTATCGAAGTGGGGCGAAGTGCATCGAGGGAAATCGGATTTGCCTGAAGTCGTGCTGGCACGGTGCAAATTTCTACTTGGTCTGGGCAAGGGTGACTTCAATATCTTCACTCAGAACTGTGAGCACGCTGCTCATTGGTGCAAGACCGGACAGCAGTGGTCAAAACAGATTCTTACCAAGGTTAGTGGGCGTGTGCCGTTCGAGAAGCGACTTTCAAAGGAGGACGTGGATGCTATGGAGAAGGAGATTGAGGAAATCAAGGCGGTGTCGCGTACAGTAGTGAACAACGTGCTCCGGTTATCAGGATCTAAGGTGTTTTTACGAGTGCAAGGCAACAAGTACGTCCGGATAATGGATGACGGACTGCACGTGGATGTTGTTCCTCAGGGTGACAACGCAGAGACTTGTGGACGCACAGCGTTCCGACTTGAGTGCTACTCCAAGCAGTACAACTGCGTAAAGGTGGCGTTCTACCATGAAGAATCGGGTCGCTACATGTTCAGCCGCTCGACGTTCTCATGCTTCCGAGACCTGCGTATGAAGAAGGGCAACTGTCTGCGCGGAACGTCCGGCATGCGCTGGGAATACTCGTCGGGTGGCCACTTGAACAGTATGAACCAGCACCGCCGATATATTGGTACTCGTGACGACGGCCTGCTGGTAGACGTGAGTCTTCGTGGAGACGCGTCGTACTTTGAATTCGTCCCGTGTGTCCCGCCGAAGGCCGTTGCCAATGGCCAACTCGGATCGTACGTGCCGCCGGACATTACGCTGATCAAACGATCGTATAACCACGCTAAGAGCGTGGAGGAAACGAGATCGCAGAGCATGCTGGAGCTCGAGGAGGAGAGACGCGGGCTATATGAGATCACCCCGTTATGAAGAGGGCAATGATGACACCGGAGAAAATGGCCCACGCACCGGTTGAAGCTCAGGCCATCGAGGGCGCTGGTTGAAGAGCCTCGTACATTAGAGAATCTATGAAATGGCACATCCCATTACAAAAATTGTCGTTCTCGCTCTTGTTTTCTCGTCAAACAGCAACTTCAAACAAGCATCAAATCCGGAGATTCCGAGTAACAATTGCTTTTAAATTAAGAGGCTCGATGCAAGTGCAGGTAGCGTTCGCATTCATGCAGCGTCTCACGGCGGCATCTAAGTTACAATTGAACCTATCTGCAACACCATGGTATACAGGGCACCACTCGACAATCGTGGTTTCGTTGGAAACCGAAGCAAAGGTCTGGCATGACGACATCTGTGGCGCCTGTCGTGCGGTGCTGCATGACGCGTTGTCCATTCAATCACTATTACGTCACCACGCGCCAAGCTGGGCACTGTCCAGTGGACAGACAGCACGGATACTCTTCGTCTGTGTCTTGTCGTTGCTGTCGAGAGGGGTCGCATTTGGCGCAGAGGGAGCACCTCGTTGTCTTCTGCGCCGTGTCATCGGTCCTAGCAGCCTGATGAAATAAATGCACATCGCAATGGCCTCCTGAACACGCAGACGAATTTATCCTGGGATCGAGTGCTTGTATTTTTAGGGCATGTTTAATACTTAAAAGTATTTTTAAATGTGTGCACCAAAAACTATATATGTTTACTTAGGAAGTCGGAGTTGCTTCAGCCTGAACTCCGAGTCGGAATTGCCAAGTTGGCGGCAAGTGCACTGCACTCATTGCTGGTCAGCCTTTGGTTTGAGCTCATTGCCCATAATAGACCTCTGCTGCACTGTACAAAGTACTGTACACTCCTTGAATCTCGTGATTGACATTAAATTTGGGTTGGTTTACATGCGAAATTTATTGTGCGTTTTTTGCGTGAGCCAAGGCGGCCTCGACCAGCTGCCACTTGCTAATTTGCCGTCATCGCATCAGGACTCTCCCAGCGCCAACTTATTCGTATTCATTCGACGCCGGCGACAAGCCATTTTATCGTTACCCGGCGGTTCATCTGAGAATCGAGCCGAATCTCTACACTACAACAACACGACTAACCAGTCAAGTGCGGGAACCTTCTTGCTCCAACCACGAGCTCTTTGCCATTCCGCATCCTGCCGCGTCGTTGGCGCATTCACTCTGCACTCTAAACCTCGAAAGTTGAAGTTGCCTTTTGCCGAGAATGAACGTCATCTACTCGGTCAAGGACTATGTGAGCAACGTCTTTCACCAAGACTCTGGCTCGGGTGCCATCGACGTTGTCGCCGTGCAACAGCCCGACGGATCACTGCGCTGTTCACCATTCCACGTGCATTTCGGCAAGTTCAAGCCCGAGGAAAAACAGCAGGTCACCCTCGAGGTCAACGGACAGAACATTGACGGCGTCCGCATGAAGCTCGGGGCTGCTGGGGAGGCCTATTTCGTTCACCAGGTGCAGGAACCCGTGGACGAGAAAGATTATCTGGCGTCTCCTTTGCCCAGTCCCCTCAGCAGTATTGGTGACGCTGAAGACTTGCTACACAATGACACATTTGCCACATCCGGGACGTTGGAGCCTGAGCACGAGGAAAACACCGGCGACATGCACGAAGAAATAGTCGATACGAAGAGAAACGAGTCGATCGATCGGTTAACGTGGGGATGGGGCACGCTCCCGAGTATGCGACCTGGAGACGAGGCCAATGACGAGCTGCCGAGTATGGTCAAAAGTGCGTCCGTGTACTTTGATGCGGTGGATACTGAAGCCACTGCTGCGGCGAATGAAGATGTGGACTATTACGACCATCCGTCGATGTCACTTTGTGGCCATTTGCTGCGCGAAGCAGAGACAGAGGAGGAGATGCATCAGATCTTCTCGGAACATATTGTCACTTTTGACTTTTTCCGAGTCAATCCTGCGAAGATATTGGCAAACCCAGACTTGCGGTTCTTCGTACGCGGGAACGTATCGTCGTACGATGCAGACATGCAGGCATACCTCGTGTCTCGAGTCCTTTTCCCGTACTCGCATCATTTGCCCGTTGGCACGGCACCTACACTGTCCCTCGATACCGATAATGTATCGAAAACTCGCGAGGAAAGCCTCAGTCTTTCTGGTTCTAACCTCTCACGCTCGGCACACTGTCACACACTAGAGCCTTTGCACGAAGTTTTGAGCGACGACGGTGGATCGACGCAAGACACCGCCAGTATTACGAGCGAGCCGTACTTTAAGAAGAGCTTGAAGCCGTCGCAACAAGAGTTACTCGAAATGGGGCTGTGTGTGGGTACGAACGATATCGAGTTTGTGTTGCGGTCTCACGATTCAGGCGAACTGGCTCGCGTGACAGCCAAACTGTATCTGTGGCCAGTGACGGCAAAAGTGGTCATTGCTCAGATTGATGGAGCCATTTCAAGTAGCGCAGCAACTGGCAGCATGTTTAAGCGCAGAGATCCCGCTGCAATGCATCCGGGCGCAGTAGAATTCTACTCGAAGCTGGCTCGGAACGGCTACCGAGTCGTGTATGTCACGTGTCTCGGCCTTTCGCAGGCCAATTTGCTTCACACTTTGCTACACAACAACGCGGAGGATGGAGAAATCACACTACCGATGGGTCCGGTGTTGCTGTCACCTGATCGGTTGCTTGCCTATGGCAACGAGATAGTCGACGCGGAAGACTTTAAGATCGCTGCACTTGGTGCCTTGCGTTCTCTCTTCCCAAGGGAAGTGAACCCGTTCTACGCGGCGTTCGGGACTACGCAAACCGACAGTGTAGTGTTCACTCAAGTCGGCGTTTTCTCCGGAAAAGTGTTTGTAGTAGACCCTACCGACGGTAGTCTACGACACCGGTCGCTGATGGGTTTCCACGAGTCCTACACGAGTTTGCTGGATCGGATGGACGCGATGTTCCCACCCATTTATTCTCCAACGACACAGGTTTCAATCTCCAGTCAGCACACCTTGCAACTTATCGTACCAACGCTTCGTTCGGTGCCAATCAACCTCAGCACAACGTCACGAGGTTCCTTGATTGAGGACGAGGAGCGACTTGTATCCGAAGCGGTTGCTTCACAAGTGCGGGCACGGAATCTCGCGGATGAGGCCTACAACGATATCAACTTTTGGCGGATCGAACCAGGCCGCGTCTAGAGGATTGTAGTCTCGATTAATTTAATTGAAAAGTGTTTTTCTAGGAAGCCCCGTGTCGTTCTGGGATGCAAATGCGGGCCCGGTACGTGTTGGTTTCACAGGAAATTCAAGAACAGCGAAACCGGCGACTGCTAAGTTTCCATCGCTTCATTTCGTGTTCACCTGCTCAAGTAGTGGTGAAGCCTGAAGATGCGGCGTCGTTTGGAGAAGCCTGTGACTTCAGACCACCTTCCTGATGTAATAACAGCTGAGCGAGTGTCCAATGGCCCAGCACCTCCAAGAAACGTAGCATGGGGCTCGACACCCGCAACACCAGCACCCAAATATTTATTCACGAGTCCCGTCGCTCCGCCACGAGGAGGGTTGGACACTATGCGCTCGCTAGATTTGAGAGACATGAAGAAAATACGCTGCATCTGGCTCGCACCCGATGAAGGTAACGTAACTGGTTGTCCTTCGTGACTTTGTCACTTCCACAGTCTTGATTCAATCTCTGCAGGTGACCAGCAAATTGTGCGACCTCCTCCGCTGGACAGCATGCAATACGCACAAATCAGTGTAAGTTTGATGTTACAGTAACGAAGGGAGTAGACTGAATCTGATCACACTTGATAGGCGTCAATGTTTGGCAGCAACATTATGGAGAAAATTAAGCGCGCCGACAACCTCTCTGTCCAACTTGAACGCAGTAACCGCTTCATGGACGCCATGCACACGTACGAGCAGGCAGCAAAAATGCTGGTACGTTTTTTGCTGCACCATATTACGCGTGGTATTGTGCCAAACTTGACGCTCTATTGCGTCATTTCAGCTTCGATGTATACAAAAGCGCGAGGAAGCTCGAGGCATTATGATGGATGAGCTCAAGTGGCTTCGTATCGACTACGAGATTCGCTGTGTGCAACTCGTGGCGCTTTGTATGTGTGGAGCACGGAAAGCAGCCGCAGGGGGAGATAACACAGCGTTCTTGGTACGTCTGCACCATGTAACAAACGTTCATTATTCAAATGTTGACAGGCATTTCCGTTGCTTTGTTGCAGCTACTCAAGAAGGCGGAGGAGTTGACAGCCCGGGATGGACTCCAGTATTGTAAAAAACACGTTCAGCGTGCTGCAGTTTACCAGAACGTCGCGAATTACTACAAGAAACAAAAGAAATATCAAGCAGCGCTGCAGGCTGCGGAGAAGGCGGTGCGAATCAACGACAAGCTCGCGCCGAGCGATCGTTTCCCTGTCGCGTACTTCTTGCAAGCGTGTATACATGGGCTACTACAAGAGCCCTCGAAGGCTGGCTTCCTGTACACTGCATGCCTCACGTTGGTCGAATCCCAGCGATCAGCGAACGAGAATCCTCAAACTGCAGAAGTGTTTTATACAGTTAAGGCTGCAACATTACACAATTTGGCCATCGAGTGGGCCAACTTAAATATGCCTGACCAAACGCGTGACGCTCTTGCAAGCGCCATGGAGATTGGAGTCCACTACCTCCCACAGACGCACCTAGTGGTTGCACGTATCCTGGAAACCTACAAGGTTATGAGAGAGAATTTCCTCTTCCACTCGAGTACCAGGACAGCTACAGTACCAGCTGCAGCACCGCAAAGTACTCCACCAACTGCTCCTGTTCGTCCCGCCCCAGACAGTGGTAATAAACGTCCATTACCCCCAAGTTTACAGAAGACGTCTCATGGCGCACCACAAGATTTGTCGAGTCCTCGAGCAAGGCGAGTATTGACCCGTGAAGTGTATCACCCCGAGTCTGAAGATATTAGTCCAGTACCGCCAACGTCTCGACGGCCGACCACCCCCTTGTCAGCAGCGAGTCTACTGTCACCACGTGCCAGAGCTGCCACGCGACCGACTACCTCAGCAGAAATGCCAGCTAAATTATCCGGACACACCCTCCCGCCTGGAGCAACAAGGACCTCTCATCTTCGGACAGTACCAGACAAGATTTACTCTCATTCATTGGGGGCAAAATACAATTCTAACAAAGAACGAGTCCTTGAAGAAGCCCGAGCCTTCGGGGTCCGCCGCAGAGCTGCAGCGAAAATACAGGTACGCAGTAGAAACAAGAGATTGATGAAGCTGTTAACAACAGCTAACTGTTTATCTGTCTAAGAAATTGTGGATGAAAGCACTTATGCGGCTTCAGTTGGTCAAACGAAAGCAACATGCGGCAATCCTGATACAGAGCACCATACGTATGCATCATCAAAAAGTTGAGTACGAGCAAATTCTCCGGATAATTCGACGGGCGCAAGCTGTATGGCGAGGCGGTCTTTCACGGACGCGTAACAGGATGGCTCTTTCATCGGTAGTTCAGATTCAAAGTGCGTGGCGCTGTCGTAATGAGCGCGCGAAATATGCTATCAAGAAGATCCGGATAGTACTATTGCAGTCCGTCGTGCGTGGATTCCTGGCGAGAGCGGTACGAACTCGGAAAAGCAAAGCCGCGGTGGAGATTCAGGCGCAGATGAGAAGATATTTGTGCGTGAAAGAGTTTAACAAGATCGTCGCAGCGGCTGCTATGATAAATCGTGTATTACGGGGGTTGCTAGCTCGCAAGCGAGTGGAAAATGGAGTGAAGTGTGCTGTAAGTGATGTGTTGAAGAATTTGGTGGATGTAGTTGTTGCAGACGAGATGGCTGTTCGGGTAGCAAAGGCGGTTGTGGAGAGTACTATTGAGGAACTTGTGGCGATAGGGGTTATTGAACTAAAGCAAGATGAACATTTAGAGTGCGTCGGAGACGAGCCCACTCCTGATGTAGAAGATAGTAAGGGTGGCGACGACGAGAAGATGCTGAACACTGGCAGCTTACAAGGCCGTGAAGAAGAAACTGAGAGCTACCAGGTAATGGGTGATGACATCGACGATGCTGGCTGTGAAGACGAAGGTAACGAAAAAATCACCCCTACATCTGAGAGCCAATCGATCGTAGAGTGTACGCGCAAGGCCCCGACTTCTCCAATGCTTAAAACGGATTCCGATCGAGCAATACTCGAAGCTATGATGAGCAGGTCGATTTCGAAGTTTGTCGATGCCGCAATTACTGCCGCTATTAACGAGTGCAGTAGCGATGTTCACTTCGTAGTTGTCTCTGGAACGAAAGCTCAATCGAAGGAAGAAAATGTAGTGGAAGTGGAGAGCACGGCCGCGACAATATTGGCGGCATTGGAAGCTGTCAAGGATGTCGTCGGCGCTGTTGCTTCGAGGGAGCAGGAAGCTATAGCGACTACCCTAGAGGACGATAGAATGGAACCGAGACAGGAGATGGAAACTATCGTAACAGACTTGGTCATCCGCCGTGTCAGTGTCAAAGAGAACAATATTTCATCAGATCCGGGGGAAAAGAAAGATGCATCGCCAGTCCCCGACACGCAACCACCAACGCAGCTGACGCCCTTACTGGTGACAGAAGAAGCGGCCGCGCCCGCCACAGCAGAAATGGCTGTGGACGACGAGGTGAGCGAGGTGATGGCGGCTGTGCTGTCGCAAGTATCGACTGCGCCGGCTGTGCCGGTTGAGGTGGAGCCCTTCGTGGAAATGGCGTCGGAGGTGGAAGTCGTCGCTGCGGTGGAAGCCGTCGTGGAAGCCACGGTTAGTGCGGCCGAGCCAGCGCCGGCTGAACCGGAAGCACCTGACGAGACGAAGACGCCAACGGATTCGGAGACGCTGGTGGAGACCGTGAAGGAAGAAGCGGCCACGCCCGTTACAGCGGAACCGGCTGTGGACGACGAGGTGAGCGAGGTGATGGCGGTTGTGCTGTCGCAAGTATCGACTGCGCCGGCTGTGCCGGTTGAGGTGGAGCCCGTCGTGGAAATGGCGTCGGAGGTGGAAGTCGAATCCGTGGCGATGGAGGCGGTGAAAGTCGTCGCTGCGGTGGAAGCCGTCGTGGAAGCCACGGTTAGTGCGGCCGAGCTAGCGCCGGCTGAACCGGAAGCACCTGACGAGACGAAGACGCCAACGGATTCGGAGACGCTGGCGGAGACCGTGAAAGAAGAAGCGGCCACGCCCGCCACAGCAGAACCGGCTGTGGACGACGAGGTGATGGCGGCTGTGCCGGTTGAGGTGGAGCCCTTCGTGGAAATGGCGTCGGAGGTGGAAGTCGTCGCTGCGGTGGAAGCCGTCGTGGAAGCCACGGTTAGTGCGGCCGAGCCAGCGCCGGCTGAACCGGAAGCACCTGACGAGACGAAGACGCCAACGGATTCGGAGACGCTGGCGGAGACCGTGAAGGAAGAAGCGGCCACGCCCGTTACAGCGGAACCGGCTGTGGACGACGAGGTGAGCGAGGTGATGGCGGTTGTGCTGTCGCAAGTATCGACTGCGCCGGCTGTGCCGGTTGAGGTGGAGCCCGTCGTGGAAATGGCGTCGGAGGTGGAAGTCGAATCCGTGGCGATGGAGGCGGTGAAAGTCGTCGCTGCGGTGGAAGCCGTCGTGGAAGCCACGGTTAGTGCGGCCGAGCTAGCGCCGGCTGAACCGGAAGCACCTGACGAGACGAAGACGCCAACGGATTCGGAGACGCTGGCGGAGACCGTGAAGGAAGAAGCGGCCACGCCCGCCACAGCAGAACCGGCTGTGGACGACGAGGTGATGGCGGCTGTGCTGTCGCAAGTATCGACTGCGCCGGCTGTGCCGGTTGAGGTGGAGCCCGTCGTGGAAATGGCGTCGGAGGTGGAAGTCGAATCCTTCACGGTTGATTTAGCTGTGATATGAACGTGGTTGTTCATTTTGTGGGAGTTGGAGCTGAAATATGCTAGATTTGTACTCTTACTCGAGGTTGCTGTTGACATCGTTGGTGATGGTTTTGGGGTGGAAATGGTGCAGTATGGTAGCCATCGACGAAATAGTTAATGCACTCACTCAGAGTGTAGGGACACCGAGGAACGTACTGAGCAATGAGCTGGGTGTCTTCTTAAAAAAATGTCTAAGACAAAAGTATTTATTCGTGCAGAGCCTTAGATTTAAATCCTTCCTACCACCTTCATTCATCCTTGGCCTCTCGACGGCGGCGGCTGCTGCCGATAGAAAGCACAGTAGGTATCGCATGAGAACACAAGTGAGTTTATATAGGCACGCAAATCCACAGAGCTCGTACCTCGCTGTGGCAGGTCTCTTGGTTGCACTCTTCTTACTCTTGTCGTCTGCTCCACTAGAGCTCGGCACTTTCTTAGCTCCGTCCTTGCTCTCTTTGCTCCCCCCATTCGATGCTGATGGATACTTTTCTTTGCTAGGAGCAACTTCTACTTCGTTGGCGAACATGATCTCTACATCATTCTCCGACGCGACACCAACGCGCTCAAGCCAATAGTCCATGCTGATGGCACATCCAGCTCCATTCGCTGGCTCAAAGTCGCGAGTACGGCGCTCTGGCATCTCCAAGTCCAGTTGCACCACATTATCACTGCGCCAACGCACATTAAGCGGATCAATGAGTCGGTTGCGTCTCGCGTACTCGCTCTCAATGCGTCGGGCACCGCGACGAGAAATGGGACGTTTAGGACGGAGAGACGACGGTTTTGTCTCTAGACGACTGACTTGCCAGGCGTCGTGGTCCGCGTCGTATCGAGCTCTTTTCTCAAGACTTTGCGCTTCATCCAGAGGCACAAAGTGGCTCAATAGTAAATGTTTGAGCTTAAGTTGACGCGTGAGTTCTCGCACCGTGTCCAGCATATCTTCCTTCTCAGCTTGGAACTCGACTTTAAGGTCCTCGATCTCGGTGGTGGCTGCCTTGTGCTTGGCCCAGAGCTTCTTAAGTTTCTTCGTCTTGTCATCGACAGCGTCTTGTAGCGTCGTGTACTGCTCTTCCAGCAGCACGTTCGAGTCTTCCTTCTCCGCCAGCTCTCGCGCGAGTTGCAGTTCCTGACGCTTTTGAGCTTCGACGCGAGCTTGGGCCTCACGCAGCTGACGTTCCTGCTTGGCAGCTTTATCCAGTACGCGTCCACCGGAGATGAGTTTGTGCTCCAGAGCCTCGAGTTGGCTGACCATTTCGTCCTTCTGCTTGGACATGACTTCTTTCTGCTGCGCTTGAGACTGCAGTTCACGCTCCAGTTGGTCTCGTTCCTCTTCGGTTCGCGATTGAGCGGCAAGTAAAGCCTTCATCTCCTCTTGCGCCTTCTGTTTGAGCTCACGCTTTTCACGTCGTGCATCTTCTTCCAGTTTCCTTAGGACCTCCTCACTCACACCTTCACGCTTCACCACGGTCTTCTCTACGATTCGCTCTACAATTTGAGGAACGACAGCAGAGCCACCGTCTTTTGAAAAGGCTTTCCCCTCCGCACCAGATGCAACCGGCCCGTTCTTCTCCTGAGCAGCCAGCGCTTCGCGTAGTTCCTTAATTTTCTCCTGGTATTCTCGAATCTTGGCATCTTTCGGATCTTCATTAATCTTCGGTTTGTTCTTAATGTTCTTGGCGCGATTCGCGTACCGGAGCGTGGACAACGTTTCGTTGTAGTTGTAGTCTGCTGGACCACAGTTGGCAATCATGACAGTCTTCGCATTGCCTCCAAGAGAGTCTTGAAGCAACCGCGTGAGCTTCGAGTCACGGTACGGGATATGCTGAGATTTCCCGTCTACGAGCGCAGAGATGACGTTGCCTAACGCCGAGAGACTCAAGTTGATCTTCGTCGCTTCTTTCATGCGGTCTCCAGTGGCTCCGGTCTTGGCCTGTCGCTCGCTACCGGCAAGATCGACGAGGTTCAGCTTACCCACACAGATATGAGGCTTGCCGTTGGCCTCGGACTGTGCTACAGATAAGGCTTCAACTGTAATAGTGAACATGGAATGCGAGCGCGAAGACGTCTGGTTCATGAGTGTGGCTCCGACACTGCGATTCTTCTTCCCTTGCTGCATGACAGCGTCGATCTCAGCGGCGGCTGCAACTTGGCGAGACGTCAGATCCTTCACGAAGACTCCGGCGTCCACCGTTTCTTTGAGTTCTAGACGGTTCTTCGGGTCGGGAGCGAGGAGATCTCGGATCTCTTCGTTGTAGATCTCGAGATATGACGCGTAGACCATAAATTGTTTGTTGTCGGCCTCCGCAGCGATACGGTCGAAGATGTGAGAGAACGAGTTGGGGATAATACCTTTAGCCTCGGGCGGTTCCGAGTATCCCTCCATCGTGTGTGACTTGCCAGCGCCCGTTTGACCGTAGGCGAAGATGGTTCCATTGAAGCCGTTGACGACCGACTCGACGATGTCGGTGGCCGCTTGCGCGTACACGTCTTGCTGTGAGTTTTCAGGTGGGATAGCAGCGTCAAATGTAAATTTCTTGGGAGGCTCCCTGGCGTCTGCTTCCGGATTGGAGAGCGAAATTTCGCCCTGTGCTGGGCTGGCGTGGACAATGTACGTCCGGCCATCTTGCACCTCCTTGGTGCTGAGTGGACGAATGCGTACACATACGCGGACGCTTTCACTCTTGCTGGACATGTGGTGTTTGATTGATTCCGTCGCTTGGGGCGTCGGAATCCTGCTACATCACACGAAAGACCGCGGCCGAAACGGCAGCAAGAGTCGAAAAGCACAACGGCCACACGACCTAGAAGTCCTTGACCTCCGCAAACAGCGAGTGGTCCTAGCCTAGGACCATCATGTGATCGTTGAGTACTTAACTCAGAAACATTAGCTTGAAGTATCACAGCTATTATGCTGTAGCACGAACCAGTCCGCGAGAACAAACTATTAATATTAACATCCTCTAATCGAAATGCTACATGTATGTAAGCACAACTACCGGTACTAAAAAACATTTTTTAAAGTGATTTAAAAATCATTTTGCTTTCCCCGAAATTCAGTTTATGCCTTCCTTCACATGAACGCATTGGCGGGACCCCGGGATCCCCATTGGACCCCGGGTCTGCCAAAACAAATCGGTAAACCTCGGTATGATGCAAATAAAATACATGTTGAAGCGCGTGTTTATCTACTGCTCCTGTTGCTTCACTGGGAAAAATTTAGAATGGATGGTTGTCGAGACCCAAACTTTTGCTTCCTCATCTTGGATCTGCCGGGTTTGCGTTTATTCCAGATAGCCCGACTGGTCAGGCAGTTGGTCACTGTTGAGAGCTGCCGAATTTATCAGCGTTTCTGGTACAGCTGGATAGTAGTCGATATAGTCTGGAGGGATGGAGAGAAATACTTTGCAGACAACGATTTGTTTTCTCGTATGATAGCGTTTTGACTGGGTGGCGCGGTAGCTGAACATGGTTCGCAGAAGCTTTCCAAACGCTGTGTACACTTGGATCAAACAGCTCTGTTAAAAAAGCTTTCTGAATTGCAGTGATGTCTCCATGCAGCACCATCGAAAACACGATCGCATCTTAGTTCGACAAATTTACCGTCTTTCTAGCTATACAAACTCCTTGGTCGATCTAAAAAAAATAGTTCGCCGTATATCCGGCAGGAGGTGGCACGAAATATTAGGTCTGTAGGTCGTTTCATTCGATATAAAGATATTGTTAGGGTCTCTATGATCGAGAAAGGTAGCTTTTACGCTTTTGACTTTGTTGACTTCATCAACAATCGCCATAAATTCAACCCGCGAATAGCACCACGACACCACGCAACGACGCGATCAGCAATGTTGTGTGAGTATCCAGGCAAGAGAAAGCATAAAACCACTTTCTTGTAAGGAAATACAATCGAAAGCATAGCGAAAAACAGCAGAACAGCTTTGGACTTATTTTGGCCACACAGTTATCGAGTACTGTATACTGAGGCAGATCTCTGGTGGACGGACTTCAATTCGTGCATTAGACTGCAGCGTCTATATATGTGGTAAATGAGACGAAGGCTGCACAATGCGTCGGCATTTTTGCCCTGGGCACGCTCGTCATAAAAGTACATATTATTTCTCGTGTTCGAGATATCGGCGACGTCAAAGTTTTGAATGATCAAATCACTGTTGAAAATTTTTGCTGAAGGACGACAGTGTCCATAATAAGGCATGGAGAGACCCCGCGCCGAAATTCTCAACTTGTATTTGAACGCGACAGTTAGGTTCTTTAGCACTCGAAATATTTCTCTGGTCGCAACCATCCATCTCTCCCGCTGACACTTCATAGCAATCGTCACTTTCTTCACTTTCATAGTCCTTTCCACTGTCTGCAGATTCATACGTATTTGGAATAACTTCCTTGGGCAATTTTTGATTGGGAGCGCTTTTGGCAGCAAAATGCTTAATGCAGGATGAATTAAAACGGCGCTGAGCGATGGCCTCGGTAGGGTGCATATGCTTTTCTAACAAAATTGCTTCTTTGTCGTCAGCACTCACACTTTCTTGCTGCAGAGGAATATTTCAGCGCATGCAGCAGTCACAAACGTCTTGTTTTGTGCGAGTTAAACGGACACCAGGGTAGTAGTATATCCTGTACTGCGTAAAGCGCGTGTAGCTCAGTGTGCGTGCTCCAGGGTGTGCTCGTGTTACCCCATCGACGTATCTTGCATGCACGATGACCCACGACAAATTTGCCTCTGTGAAGTACTGGCGGGGTCGTCGGTGCGAGCACGGGAAGCTACCTTCCAATACCCAGGTCGAGCAATGAGCCTTAAAACGTTCGAAGTCCTGATCACTGAGCGCATGCCAAGGCCTTAATTTTCTTAGTCGTGTGTGAAATGTATCGAGTTCATGTACTAACACCTTTCTTAATCGATCAATGCGGCTGCCTCAAACAGGAACGATAGCTCGAATGACTCTTTCGGAAGGTCCCTGCTGTAACAACTGGAGGAGAACGCCGTCTGACTGCTCCCACTCGCGCCCTCCGTAGTTCGTTTCTCACGAGTCCCAGTCTGCTATAATATTCTTTACTGAATGTTTACCAAGGAGCTCGACTGAACGCAAATATGTTGTTTCCTGTCTAGTAGGACCCTTGTACCGCTTGCGTTGTGGGATCGTTGTTCGTGAGCCTCCTCCACGTCTAGTCATCTTTGCCGGTGGGTTTCCAAACTGGATCCCATCCTTGCCTCCTTGCGGTCACCAAAAATAAATAATTGCCGTTTTCATCGGTTAAGTTTAGGGGACCCCGGTCCCGCCAATGCGTTCACATGTCAACAGATTAACGATTGATCCTACTATTACATGTAATAGTAGACTATTTTGAAGTAGTCATGCACCTAGAATTTTAATAATTAATGCATTGTTTGTATTACTAGCCGAGCGCCGCCGCTACGCAGCGGTAGTTAAGGTTAAGTCCCACTTGTTTTGGCCTTCCCGCCTCCGCAACGCTTCGGCGGGATAATGAGAAAAAGGATGCACCCCTTTGTGCCTAAACCGATTTTTTTTATTTTATCAATCTTGGTCAGCGTCATGCTCGATTACAAATAATTATTTAGTGATCTTGAATCAAGATTCTTGAAACAATCTCTTTATATTGATGGCTATCACTGAATCTTCACCTTCCACCTGCACTTCAAATAACATTTATACAAACGCTACAAAATTATTAGTTTAGCATCGTGCTCGATATCACGGGCCATTTCGGAGCCTCTATGAAACTTCGCTCACATCAACGCAAACGATAGTAGTGGCCTGTCCACAGGGCTCCCGATTATGGCATGGCCTTGTCAATAATTTCTTATGAAATCATAAAAAATATTTATTTCGTCGACTTCACTAATGCAATAAATAATTTATTTGCTAAAGTACCAATCTACCCAACCGTCAAAATTTCAACCGTCCGACCGGGGCTCCAACCTGATACCGGTACGGTCTGCCAGCTAAGGGTCGGACTTTGCCGTGACCCGCGGGCCGTCCCGCGGTAATACACATAATAATAATAAAAAAAATTCCTTCTCTCTGAGGCCCCACAGCAATTCTACAAACCACGGCCACGAGCGCGCAGCGGTGAGAGCGGAGCGCAATTCTACGGCCCTCCTGCGACCTCAAGGCCTCGGTCGCATCTCTACGCGCGCGGTATCACTACCAGGGACTCACGCCACACTACTCCCGCCGTTATCGTCCCCGTAGATGACTTATTTGATGTGAAATAACCCGTAATTGCGGGCGGAATGCAGCCGAATTCTATCTACGACATACATCGAGGCCATAGTACCTATTTTTTATGGTAAGTTTTTGCTGTTGCTTATCATGAGTGAACATGTCGTTTCTAACTTGCTGTTGCAGCTTTGTTTGTAATATAAGATGATGCGTTAGTGCCTAAAGCGGAAGCTGTTATCTATTGCCAAGAATTATACAGTTTAAAGTGTAAGGCGAGATCTGGTGTTGTCACTTAGCTATACTATATGTACAGCAGGTTCAGCGCTCTCGAAGGCTTGTTACGAATAAATTTTGGCAGCGCCGAAGGTGGTGCTGGGTCGACAATGTCACTACGCTCAGCACGCTCGTGAACTGGGTTTTATGTGCGTCAAGCTTTCCAGCCTTAAGCCGATTGCGAAGGGCTCAGTGCCGTAACCGTTGCTGCTGCTGAGGACCCGTTCGTCTTCAAGAAGGCCCGCGTGTTCACTTGCGCTTTCTCACCAAGCGCGATAACCTCACTCTTAAACGCAGGAGACGAAGCATCAAGTGAAAACCCATGGGGTAAGAGTTGCATCATGCAGCCTGCGGTGTGTCTAAGCTCGTACAGCGTTGTTTTCTTCATAGAGCGCGAAGCATAAACGCGGGGCTCGGCCGTAAACCGTTCGTACCAGACTGCAGCAAGAGACTGCGAGCCCTTTATCTTCGGACGAACAGTTTGTATCGCGCTTCGTGGGCATGCTGTGATACACGACCCGCCACAGGTTTTGCTGTAGCCGACGGCGAGTGCAACTTAGCCTCTACAGCTGCAGTCATTCCTCTGGGCATTAATTTTGCAGGATTAAAACGCTGATCTGCGTGGACTTGCGCTTCATGAGGCTTAGCACCTCGGCAAAGTGAGAGCTCCTAACGCTGGGCTTGGTTATAGCTGATGGTGGCATGAAAGAATGGCGGGTTGTGCTGCTCCATGCCAGTACTTCCGCTTCCCCGATGACCCGTGCTGACATGGCCGCCCGAATGCGGGCAACCAGTGCTCCTTCGCATGAAAGCAGCAGCATGTCGGGGTAGTGCATGATGAGGGTGGCTGACAAGACCTCTGCAACGTCTTCGTTTAGGCTCATGGCAGGCTCTGCAATCCCAGGAAGCTCGTGAAAAGTAGGTCATGCAATGCTTGGGCGTGGGACCGCACAGGCGGCTCCAAGATACGCAACGAAGGAAGACGAGCGCCTTCTTTTGGTTTTCCATCCGCTCAGTACACGTGTAACTTGCTGATCAGTCTGCGCTGTACCGAACATGTACCCAAACGCCATATTGACGCGGTCAAACTGCCAATGGCCGCGCTCTATAATCCAGTTTTCTGCCAGAGTTCCATCGTTGGCGTGCATGGCAGCTCCTCGACGAAAAGAATGGGAGGTAAGTCCTTGTGTGAGTTTTATCTGCTTCTGATCTGCAATGTTCT